TCCTCTCTGTGGACTGGCTGTTGAGCACATTCTTGAAGCCAACGTGTCGATCCATCTCCCTGAAATCCTGCCTCATTTTTGCTTCCCTTGTCCAAGCATGATGTCCAGCGACTGGTCCTGCTGGCAGCCTGTCCAAAGTACAGGAGACCGACCGCCTCACCGTCCTTGCCTCTGAGGAGTGCTGCAGCTGCCAGACAGAGCTGCTTGACCTTTTGCTGGTCCATGTGCTTTCGAGGGTCTTTGCCAGCACAATTCAAAATGCATCCGTTCGTCCTCCATCTGCTGTATTCAGCTTGCATATGCACACAAGGAGATTAAAAATGCCATGGCTTGGGTTCGGCGCATCCTAGTCCTCAGAGTGGCATCCGTACTTTTCAGTTTTAAGGCGGTCCTGTGCCGCAGATTGGCCCAATGCAATGAGTGTGTTGTTGGATCCCTTGACTCCTGCTTCCCTGAGCATTGACTGGATCCAAGCAAGACGAAATCCTTGACAATTTCTGAATAGCATCTTACTGCTCTCTTCCAGCATTTCCCCTATGCACTGGGCTCTGTCCTGGTTGCCCGACTTCCCTTCTTGCTGAGCCTGTGGTCCCGGTCCAGGCATCATTGTGTCCAAGGATGTAGAGCACACAGGGCATGACTCTCAGCTGGTGATGTAATTTCTCCCCTAGACCATTATGCAAGATACAGTCACGATTATATATATTTACATCTATCGGAATGTAAGTTCTGTGTGCCCTTTGGCACCAGCCAAGATAGTGACGCAAGCACTTTCTTAAGTCTCAACCCCTGTTATCAAGCCAGCTACTGAGCACTGCTCTGGGCTGTCCCTGGATGCGGTCCACACTGAGGCCAGAACTGGCATTCCCAAAGCCCGCAGGGGTGTAGCCTCCAGGAAGGTGGGTTTTGAATACGTCTCCTCTCTTCTCAGGAAGAAGCCCCTCTTGCTTGTCCACGGCGATAAACGGGAAGCTAAGGCTCACTTGCACGCTGAGGCAAAGCCCTATGAGCACATCACCCTCTGCCAGGTAGGCTGCTGACTGCCGCTCAAGGTCGCTCTTTGACCCTGCATGGGGGGAGACGACCTCTCCCGCCGAGTGCAGGTACCTGGTAAACCAAGAGGTCCTGCCTCTAGGGGTCTAGTTCATGGCAGCACTGGCTGCTTCCAGACACAAGGGGTCTAAGTGTCTCTGAACAGTGGGTGGCTGCAGACAAGTTCTCAGTAATACACTTGCCATCGTCTCCTTACAAAAATACTACTGATAATGTCCAATTAAAACAGTGCCTTCTGAGGGGACCTGCTGAGCCAATTCAATTCAAAGTGGAAAGGTGGGCATAGAAGGTTATGGTGACTATTGGGGGAGGGGGGGAGGGAGACAGATTCCCAAAAGGTAATCTTGATAGGTTTTTCTCAAAAGGCACAGGGGTGATCATGGGAGCTTATGATGAAGTTTTAAGAACTTTGAAAACTGCATTCGTGAGCAACAGAACAGGCCAGGAAAGCTTCACTAAGGGATTCTGCTCCACCCCAACAATGCACCTGACTTAGGAGAGAACCCTGGCCTGTAAGACTTCCTTTGGGAAATCTTATCCTATGCAGCCTCATCTTGACCCTTCAGCTATCTTGTTCCCAAAGCTCAAAGAGCATTGAGCAGGAGCACAATTTACAGAGACCCTCAGAACTCACTGCCATCGAGCCTGTTCTACCGCATAACGACGCTGTGAGACAAAGTGGGGCTGCCCCTGTGGGTGTCAGAGACT